TATACAGCGTGCCTCTCATCCCGGCCTCTTTCCTCCCCAGGCCTTGGGACGCGCCGGTGGGAAACCTCCTGAGACTCCAAAACCCGCACGAATCCAGAGTCACCATTTTTCTCTAATTGGTGGAGGCCGGCTTGCTTTGTTGGGAGGCGCGTCAGAGCTCGCAGTGTGCACTCTGCGCCCCGCGATGCGGCCGTCTCACCGCCTTCATTAGGATGCAGGGCGGAAGCCCGGCGCCCTCAACTGGGCCGGGGGAACAAAGGCCGCATGGAAATTAGAGCAGGACGATGAATCCCTCGCTCTCCACTTTTGCAAAACAAGATTCTGACCATTTACTCGAGGACTTATTTTGTCATTGTGTGTCATACAAAGAAACAGGAAACTTCAGAGGGAAGAAGGGGCCCCAGTTTCTCACAAGGTGGCCCAGGGAGGCGGAGGCTGCTGACGGTGTTGGCAGGATGCCGGGCTCGGCCTGGAGGCTGAGGGGCCGCCACTCCCCTTGTGACGGAGGAGGTCACCCTGGCGCAGGGGACGGTCCCTCCTCCTGGGCAGACAATCTAGGGAAGGGGAGGCCGAGGGCGGCAGCACTTGAAGACCGTCCCATCGGGGACCCTCCGCCACTGGAACTTGGCCACACTTCGCCGAGTGCTTCTCATCCTTTATCCTCAGACTGATGGAATCCCTTTGCCAATCACGCCATTTACAGCTCGACAAGAATAGACCCTAGTTTATGAAACTCGGATCCCAATTTCTACTTTAACGACCGGTATTTGTAAGGAATAGTTCGTCTAGTCAATTGGCAAAACCTCTTAGTGACCCTTTCAGGAATAGCTCTCTAAAGTTTAAATATGTGTGCCCTTGGGGCTAGCAGTTCAACATCTAAGAATTTATCTTACAAAATTATCTCTACGTGTGAATGAAGAGATACACGTAAGGATATTCATTGCAGTCCTCTGCATAGGAGCATAGCATATAATCTGATAAAAGACTATAAACAATGCCCAGTCTGATCTTAAGGGCTTAGATGACTATATGACTATCCATTCATCCGTACAATGGAATACTCAGCAATCATTTTCCCAAGTGAGATTTACCAACATGGACTGACTTGGGGGAAAAAAAAATCCATAATATGGGCACTGAAAAGAAGTTGAAAATTGTGTATATACTTTAATCCACTTTTGTTTAAAACAGGATTTCTCACCCTTGGCACTGACATTTGGGCTGGATAACTCTTTGTTGTGGGATAACTCCTGTCCTGTACATTGTAGGATATTTAGCAGTGTCCCTGATCTCTGCCCACTAGATGCCAATAGCACCCCCTCCCTCGCTCCCACAATTATGACAACCAGCACTGTTTCCAGACATTGCCAAATATACCCGGGGGTGCCATGAAGAACCAAATCACCCCCAGTTGAGAACCACTATAATGACATATAGACAACTTAGGTTTGTATACCATAGAAACAAGTCTGGAAGGATATACACCAGGTTTCTAACAGTGGTTCTACTAGTAATCAGGATTGGCCAGGGAAAACAAAATGCTCTTTTTATTTCACACACCTCTGTACTGTTAGATTTTTTGGGGCAAGCATCTATTTCTGTAATGAAATAAAAAACCTATTTCTGTTCTACTCCACGCACAGACATAAACATACACAAAGAAAATAAAGGGAAGAGCTTCTATTAAGAGATTGTCAATCAAGACTCTCTCTGGAAGAGATGCAGATGAGCCTTAGTGGGGAAGGGAAGTCCTTTGAGAGGACTCTCGAACGGGACACGCTGGTAACCAGGGCTTGTCAATCGATCATCGGAGGATCTCATAAGCCACACGTCAAGAACTGTGTCTGATAGACTGTGAACTATGTGTGAAATGTGAAATTCTGGCCTCGGGTTTTGAATCTGATGGGGGCCAGGGTCTTGCATACTCTGCTTCAGATCGTTCATCTGCAAAAAGGACCATCTACCTTTCCACAACAACTTTAAGAGGACAGGTCAGTAAAGCAGCACCTATGAAGTGGTTCCCTTGTCAAATTTGGAACTATGTAAATAAAAGACAGAATTCTCATTAATGTTGACTTTGGTGCTATTTTTCTAAAAAAACAAGAGCCTAGTCCAATTTGGGTATTTCAGAGTTCAGAGAATCCCAGATGCTTGAGTTGCTTCCTAGAATTCTCTCCAAGGAGAATTTTCTAGTTTGTTGGTATCCTTATGAGGAAAATAATAAAGTAAATCTTTTTCCTGTTTTTTGCCTTTCTAGGTAACAGGCTGTTCTGGAAAAAATGGTTAAGGTTTATTCAGAAACTATCAGGTAAACTGCCCCTGACAATTTTTGTGATGCGTCCCCCACTGAGTTAGTTGGAACTCATGCTGAATTTCCTAGAAGCAAAAGCAAACTTGGATCTTACAGAAAATACAAAACATTTATTCCCCCCATATGGAGGCCAGTCATCCGCCGCTAATACCTTCACCCACGGCACTCAGGGAACTGTGATTTGTGCACAATATTTTGAAAACCAGCAAAGGAGCATTTTCTTGCCCATCGATGCTGGTGTTTTAAAGTATTTGAGACAGTTTGTAAATCAAGTTATGAATCAGTTCATAATGACTTATTTTATATTCTTTTTTCATTATGTTTTCTTTTCTTGCTAGAAGAGCAATGCTGAGAAATCCATTTCTGACTCACAAGCTACCGATGGGTATTTTAGTCACAACTTTTGGACCAATTTATCGTTCTCCCCGAATGTGACCCAGCTTCTTAAAGGCAGTTCGGTTTATTTGGTTGTTTTACTTCTTTCCAATTTTGCCTTTGTTTATCAAAGACCTAATATCGTGTAGTCAGTTCGTCAAGAAATTAAGCCTTTCCTTTTTTTCGTTTCTTCCTCTGAATCTACAGGCTAAAGCTCAGGACTCGCCACTGTCAAGATTCTAGAATCACACTCTAGACACAAATTCTGGAAACAAAAAGAGAGCAACATGTCTCCAGTCTGCCTTGCACACAAAGCAGCAGGCTCAAATGAGGCAGGGGCCACAAGTAGAGCATCCTTCTCTAAGCCTCTAGCATAGCCACACTCTCGTCAGCTGTGCCAAGCCAGAGCAAGGAGGCTTTTAAGCAGAACTCGGTGGCACGCCTCAGGGACTCACTATCGAAACCTTGGCTCCCATCTGCATTGTTTGCAGGGAAGCACTAATGAAAATTAGCTTGAAAAATGTGCGGACTTTAGAGAATGCTGTCAGACAAGGCCCTTATAGAGTTAGAAATGGCCATGGCAGACACTATGGGTGCTCTGCACCCGGGTCCACTTTCACTGTTGTGTGGCCCCTCTCCCTCCCCATTCGATGGTGTTTTCTTCCAAGGGCCTGTACCTCTGACTGTCTTTCAGAGAACTGCTCAGGGGCTGCTGGATTACGGTGCCCACATGCACAGAAAGCCAGGCATGCCCAGGGCTTATGCCCTCCTACTCCACCAGGGCAGCCCTCGGCCAATGACATATTGCTGCAGGGACATGGAAGGCCAGCTCCCCTGCCTTAAAGCCAGGGCAAACTCCCGAGACATAATTTGTATTCCAGATCTCACTGACGCTGGGATTTTGCATGAAATCACACCCTTCCTTAGACCCCCTCTCTTGCCAGGCTGGCTTCCCCACGCCCTTATGAGCTTCTCACTCACACACACCCCCTCATCTCAGGACCTGCTTTGGGGAGCCCTGCCTGGGACACTATCTGTCCTCCTTTGCTCTCCCTCAAGCTTTGATGCTTCGTGTTCTTTTTGCACATCTCATTCCATGCTGATGGCTGGAGTCAATGTCATCAGTTTTGGGTCTCAACTTTCTGTTAGGATACCTGTCATACCTAGGTTCCTATTACCTGGCGCCCTTGATAAGTGATTTCGGGTCATAGTGTTTAAGTTCCTCTTTGCCAGTGGCACAGTCGTTGGCACTGTACAGCTAGGCTGGACGGTCCTTGTGCCACCACATGCAGTGCCCTTCCCCTTGTTTCCACTGTTTGGTTGACCGTAGGTTACTGGGGGCTGTTACTGTTCTGCTTTTGACTCCTATGTGCAAGAACTGGAGAACTCGGGGGATCAGTGGGGAAGACAGGATAAGCTCAGGCAAGAGGTTGAGGGAGGGAGACATGAGTGGTTAGAGCAAAAGGAGAGCGTCCTAGAGACAGAGAGCCCGTGGAATTGCATGGTTGGAAGGATTTCCTTCTGCTAGGACTCCTTGATTCTGTCCCACCTCCAGCAAAAGAAGCTTGGACTTTGTCTCACCAGGGCAGGATAAGCTCCTTGAGAGAAGGGCAGGGTATCCTTTTTTTCTGCATTCCCACAGAACCCACTATTCCCTCAATAAATGTTGGTTGGTTTGTCTGTGACTCCCCTAACCTTGTCTTCTATTTATAGGATGATCATGTAATTTGTCATCCAATTCAGGACACTTTGAACATGAAAGAGGCTGCTATTAATAATTATGTCCAGACAAAATGCATAGTCTGAGACTGTCCCTGGGAAACCGGAGTTCACGGTCACCTTGCATTTCACCACACCACACCCCCCCCCACTGCAGGGCTTTAAACTGCAATAACATACTGGAGTCTGTGAGTGGCGCCCTGGAGCCTACTCTAAAATCCAGATGTTAGGATGGACGGGGAGTCAGACTCTGAGCCACAGGAGAGTTTACCATGTGGCTTTCTACTATGGACCTATTCTCATTGTGTTTGAGCTCTGAATATTATTCAAAGCCACTGAATATTTCTGAGCGGTATTTGCAGCAGGTGAGGGCTATTTATAGAAATGTCAATGGGCAAACCTGGGTAGTTCCAAACAACCTGACTCAGCAGCAGCCCTGCCCTTCTGGGAACCACTCAATGGGGGTGTCCACACCACGTGCCATCTTGGACAGACCATCCTAGACGCCAAGAAGCAACAGGCCCTGCAAGCTCCCAAAGCCCTCCCCACGCCAGCCCCACCTGACACCTTAACTCCCCCTGGGAAGCATACTCACGATTCTCGCAGCGCTGCCCCGTGTAGCCTGCCAGGCAGGCACATCTGTAATAGCCAGTTTTGTCAAGGACGCAAGTGCCATCATGGAAACAAGGGGACGAGGAGCACGCTGCAAGAGAAAAGGCATCCCTCAGGCCACTGTGCAACGAGTTGATGTCTTCCAGCCTGGCATCTTGGCCAAAGTCTTTCACTTATCTATCAAAGTCTTCTTGTCATGTGTTTATTCCTTTTCTACTGAATTCATGGTACTATAATTTGAGGATGCCTAAAACAAATGCTCATTAATTGTCAAATGTTGCTGATGTCGTGTGACGTTTTCGAAGGCTCCAGAAGTATGCTTGAGACCACTGCAGTCTGCAGAGCATAAGGCAAACACACAAAGGAACGCTATGCAGCTGAAAACAGAGCCATGCTTGTATCTCTCCCATAGCGTTTGGACAGCTAAAGACCATCTTCTTTCAAAAAAGCTCAGCATCCCAGGTACCGAGGGAAAGCAACTTGAAGATGAGCTTTATGGGACACTGTTGAAGGTGTACTCAAGAATTTCCAAACTTATACGCTGTAAACATTAGCCCTTGAGATGTTGATGTGTTCAACGAAATAGGGGTCTGGGCTCAACTATGTTGGGGACATGCTGCTGGCATTGAGTCGTAATTAACCAGACTTCTTTACTGCAGAACTTCTCAGTTCAATGCCCTAATACACATTGTGAGTATCTAAGAATGTGCATAATAGTCAGCTTGCCCTGAGCTTATCTGATCTCAGAACCTGCATTTTATGGAGAGTCTTGGGGACTATTTTTCTACAGAAAAGACTGGGAAACACTGGTCTGTGTGTTGCCCATCAATCCTATATTCATTTATCCCAATGTAGAAATATATCCCTTGGGCCGGGCTTGGTGGCTCACACCTGTAATCCCAGCACTTTGGGAGGCTGAGATAGGAGGATTGTTTGAGGCCAGGCATTCAAGACCAGCCTGGGCAACATAGCAAGGCCCTGTCTCTACAAAATGGAAGGAACGAAAGAAGGAAGGAAAGAGGGAAGGGAGGGAGGGAGAAAGAGAGAGAGAGGAAGAAAGGAAGGAAGGAAGGAAGGAAGGAAGGAAGGAAGGAAGGAAGGAAGGAAGGAAGGAGAAGGAAGGAAGGAAGGAAGGAAGGAAGGAAGGAAGGAAGGAAGGAAGGAAGGAAGGAAGGAAGGAAATCCTTTAGCTCAGTTCAACAAATCTATATTGAGTGCTTGCTCTGTGGAAGGTGCTAGAGAAATGCAAAGATGAACAGGACATCCTACTTACCAGATTAAAGGTATACAAGGACTATAACGTGAAGCATAAAATACAGTTAATGTTTCATGCAGAAGGAATAGAAAGTGCTACAAGACATTCAAAAAAGGGCAAAGTCACAGCTCATGGGAGCAAGAGAAAAGATTTAGCAGAGGAGGAAGAATGTGATATGTGCTCTGAAGTATGGGTTTTGATATGCAGGTTTGAAACAGACTTTAGCCCGACTTTAGCCAGAGGAAAGAACTTGAGTACAAGCAGACAGGCAAGGAAGTTTGAGGAGTGAGAAGCGGTGCTCTCTGACTGCATTGCCAAAATGCAGGCCAGTTTCCCCAAACTTCTGCAGGGGAAGTTGAGGAAGGAAGACTCTCCTGACCCTCCCTCGTTCCAGAGTCACAAGCTGGCCAGTTGTCTCTGGCCCTGGCTGGCTTCCATGACAGCCGACTCTTGCTGACTGCCCTGAGTCCCCACAGATGCGCCTCCCATGGGACCCTGCTCAGCCTAAGCCCCGAGGAGGGGATTCGGCCACAGGCCGATCACACCAGGCCACCCTCAGGCCCCGCACAGCCCCACAGGCAGGGCATGGGGGGGTGGGGGGGGCAGCATCCTATGGGGGGGGCAGGTGGCAGCCCAGGGTCTGCCCGTCTTGCTGAATGAATGGGACGGAAGAAATTGATCATACAGCCACCCACTCCTTTCCTGAGACTTTCATATCACACCTTATACATAAGGAAGCCTTAATGATCAGAATGCCATTATAAGTTTTTTTTAAAAAAAAAAAATACAGTATTTTAAAAAATTGAACTTAAAGGCTGAGTTTATTTTGTAAAACCTGAAGTGATCCAAACTCAGAACAGTGAGACTGGGGTGATTCCTTAGGATTGAGCATATGGGCCATTTTGGTCAAATCCTGCTTCCTGATAAGACTAGAGAAGGAGTTAAAGTCAGGCCTAAAGTTACTCATCAGGTAAACGACACTTGCCATTGTAGTTTAAGCTTTTACTGTCTATGGCAATACAGATGGTAACGGAGGGGAAGGGAACGCCTGGGGTTGGGCAGCTGATGAGTGCTGACTGTGTACTAGACTATGCTGAGCACTTCATTTGTTCTGTCTCCCAGAGCCCCCTTAACGGAGCAGGACATGTTGCTATTCCCTTGTCACTGATAAGGAGACTGAGGCCCAGAGAGGTAAAAGAATTTACCCGAGGTCACACAGCTTGATCTGACCTGCCAGGAATCCAAAGCCAATGCTCTTAAACTATGAGAGGCCCCCTCATGGCAGCTCTACAGCCAAACTGCTTGGGTACAAATCTCCGGTTCTGTGTGACCTCAGACAGATTCTCCAGCCTCTCTGTGCTCCAGCCAGCTGACCTGCATAAGAGAGAAGATGATGCCAGGCTGTGGTTGTAGGTGAGCTTTTCTGAGATCTACCTGGCCATTTCCCTCTTTTTTCTTCGGAGTGTAGGTTTCTTTCAAGGATCCGACATGCTAGGTTTTCACCCGGCCGAGCAGGGAGAAGGGAGGCGCACAGCAAGGGGGTGTCTGTCTGGAGCAAGCCACAAAGTGCCACATCTGTCTCCGTGGTCTTTACCTGTGATCTCCTCAAAAATGGCATGGAAGCCGTCGAAATTCTTGGAGCCGTCGGAACGGAAGAGGACATGGAGTGAGGAGCCCGTGCTCTGGATGGGGGCCGGCCGCTCGTTGCCGCAGACACGCCTGATGATCTGGCCATCGCTGGTGTCCCCGTCGCGCACCTCCACGTAGTCGTACTGGCACATGTAGTCAAACTCCAGGCTCAGCATGACAAACCTGCGGGTAGAGAGGGGACAGAAGGACACATGCCCTGGGCATGTTCAAGGCAGGCGATGAACAGGGCTTGGGAACAGATGGCACCACCGGCCTGTTCCGATGGGACAGGGGTCTGGGAGCACTGGAGTTAGTGAGTTCACGCCACAGAGGAACAGAGGAGTGTCACATCCATACCGTCTGCATGTACGTGCACACGCGCGCACATGCCAGGGTGGAGGGAGGTGTCCCGTTCCCTGTAGGTAATCTTTGCATGCTCTGTCCCTCTTCCGGGGCACTTTCCTCCCAGTCCGCATGGCCTAAGCTTAAATAGCCCCTCTTCAAAGAGGCCTTCCTCACCACTCTTTCTGAAGGAGAGCCCTTGTTTTCCTAATAATGTAGGCACAGATTTTAATTTCTCATGCTGAACTCCTTGATTTTTTTTTTTCCACCTCTCTGCTCCACTAGCCTGCAAGTTCCTTAAGGGCAGGGAGGAGCGTCTGTCTTGTTCTGCCATTGTTTTCACAAGCACCCAGCACAGTGCCTGGCACACAGAGATGCCAAACAAATACTGTTGGCTAGGTGACTGAATGGATCTGGTGTTGTAATTTTATACTTGGGGAATAGAAAAGGCTCATGTTGTTTTGCAAGACTAAGCAAAGGAAACCAAGCTCTGCACACTCTGCTGTTTGCTGGAAGGAGCAGAAGGTAAACTGCCTTATGGCTAACAGAATAACAGTCACCCCAAAGAGTCGAAAAAGAAGCAGCAAATCAGAATCATGGGGGTTAAGCAGACATGATATACCTGTGCTTATCTAAAAGGGGTCTTGGGTTTGAACACATCAGGATACATCACATCTGAAAAGCACACAATACTAAGCCCTTAATTCCCAGAGACAAGAAAAGAAGCAGCCCCATCCCAGGGCCAGAGAGGCTGTTTTTCAAAGTTTCCCAGGGAAACTGCCTGAGTGTCAAGTTCACAAGATGTACATCTGCATCTTCTCCTGCATGCTCTAGAAAAGAAGTATAAATAGACAGAAAGGCCCAGGACTGCCACCTGAAAAGTTGGGACTTTCTATAATATCCCTAGGGATATTTCTACTACCTAGGGTAAAAGCCACACATGCCAGGATTAGAGAACACTGGAATATAGTGACAATCAGTGTACATATATAGTGACGATCAGTGTATATATATAGTGACGATCAGTGTATACACACACACACACACACAAATGTGTGTGTAGGAGTCTCGCTCTGTCGCCCAGGCTGGAGTCTGCTCTGCTAGAGTGGAGTGGCATTATCATAGCTCACTGTCACCTCAAACTCCTGGGCTCAAATGATCGTCCTGCCTCAGCCTCCCAAGTAGACTGGACTATAGGTACGCACCACCATGCCCGGCTAATTTTTCTATTTTTAGTAGAGATGGGGTCTCGCTCTTGCTCAAGCTGGTCTTGAACTCCTGAGCTCAAGTGATCCTCCCGCCTTGGCCTCCCAGAGTGCTAGGACTATAGACGTGAGCCACTGCGTCTGGCTGACAATCAGTGTATTTTAAATGTTCTAAAAGGTCCTCCTAACAAACAAACCCAATAACTGAGTTTAATCATTGTTATTTCACACAAATTTGATGACTAGGCTTTTGGGGGGCTATAAGTCCTGTGACTCACACCTTGTGAAACATGCTCTACCATCTAAGAGGACGCCTGACTTTGCACCCAGAGCTGCCACTCACTCATGGTGGGGCTTGAGGAGTCAGTCCCTTCTCTTGGCCTTGATATCTTTGTCTGGAAAGTGAGGGCAAGGCCACCAGCTAACGGAGACCACAGCTGTATCTGAAGCTGAAATGAGACACTGCAACTGTGATTGCACTCATGCATTCATTCATTTGTTCACTTATGCAACACCTACATTGGCGGCTGGCTCTGTGCCAGACACTGTCCCAGGTGCCACCAGTATAGCGGTGCCCCAACTACCAACTAGGCCCAGTGCCTGCCCTCATGGAGATGAGCTCTGATCTAGAACGCAGATGGTAAGCGAGGAGACCAAAAACCAAGGTAATTTCAGAACATGCTCAGTGCTATGAGTAAAAGAAATCAGGGAAGAACACAAAGAGCCACTGGGGAGTTACGTTTCTGACATGAAGAACTCTCTGAGGATATAATATCAGGGCAGAGATTCCGAGATTTGGATGGTACCAGGACGCCAGCTACGGGAAGGTCTTGGGGCAGGGGAGTCGGCACGTGCAAAGGCCCTGTGGCAGTCACGAGCTTGGCGTGTTTGAGGAAGGAAAGCCAGGGGGTGCTGCAAGGTAAAAGCCTGTGATAAATCCTGCGTGGTAGGGAATTCAGATTTCATTCCAAGCCCAACAGGAAGCCACCAGCAGTTTTCAACAAGAGGATGGTGATTAGATGCAGGATTTCAAAGGCTCACTCTAGCCACTCTGCAGAGAGAGGACGGCAGAGCTGGCAAGAGCAGGCGCGGGGACGCGGGGGAGGAAGCCAGGACACAATCCCCGTGGAGGAAGGTGGTGGTTTGAAGTCCTAATGGAACGGCGGCAGTGGGGACAGAGAGACATGGATGGATGCGAGATTATTTTACAGGTAAGGAAATGGATTTCGTGGTGGCCTAGAGGTGGGAGGTGACGCAGAGGGGACATCAGGGATGACTCTTGAGCTTCTGGGCTGAACGTGGTGCCTCTGCGTCCTAGTGTTTCGTCATTATTACTACCATCCCCAGCCAGGAGGTCCCGGTTTAACCAGACGGAAAGAAATTCGCCATATTTCCACACCTTTCTAGGGCCCTTTCCTGGCAGCTAATGAGCTTCTCAATCCTCCACTGCTTTGGTATTTTGGGATTTCCTTCTGCATCCTGGATCTTGGAGAGGCCCTTCAGAGGCCCTGAGGGGACCATTTGTCTTGGTCCCGAAGCTGCTGAAATGTTCCCATGCAGCACTTAACACCCGCTTTTCTCATCCCTGGCAGACCAGGCCGTGAGCCCACGGGGTAGAACAGTGTCGCCCTCACGTGCCCCTGGAGCCGGCCTTCCTCCAAGAGAGCCCAGCTAAGGAGACTCACTCCCAACTCGGGTCCTCAGGTCCTGGGGACACCAGCTACCACGTGCCAGTTTTGAAGAGCAGGCTTGAGAAGGGGATCTGCTTCGTTGGGCCGTTTAAATTCGGGGTTCTGGTTGTCCCCCTTGCAAGACAGAGAGCCATTCAAGGAGCCAGCTGGCATGTGGCAGCCTCTGGGCCCACGGATCCACCCAGAAAATACTTATTGAAAGCCTGTGCCCTAAAGGATCGGGGGTTTCAATCCCATACCCCCTCACCATGTGCTTAAATTGGAAGAGCTAATTGTCTAGGGACAATGACTCTAGAAATCCTAGGGGGGAGTGAGCCGCCTGCTTCCCTGAAGAGGAAAAAGGGAGGTGTTTTCCGAGGGAGAGAGAAGAGGCACTGTAGTCGGCAGGCAGCTCTGTCAACATTCACTCCTGCAACCAGAGCGGATCAAGCACCTCTCAGGCGCCATGAACTGCTCCAGGCGCCAGGGCGCAGCAGTGAGCAGCTCCTACGAAACACGGCTCCCTTGTAGTATTTATTTATCAATAGTCACAGTAAAGCAGGTCTATACCCTGGACTATGGCATAAACTGAACATTTGTGAGGACCCCAAAGCTCCCTACGAAGAAAATGGCTTATCGTCCACACAGGGGGCAGAAGTGGTTTACTTGTCGTAGGGTGTTTGCTGTTTGCTGAGAATAGCAATTAAAGGAGCTGTGACAAGCATCAACTCCAATCTGAGTATAAATGCCTTGAAAGTGAGACCTGTGCCTTTCCTTCTTCCCATCCCTTCCACAGGACCAGCCCAGCATGGGGTAGTAGGAAGCTTTATTAAAGATTTGTGGATGGCTGGATTGCTCTCAGTATTTTGCTATCAGTATGTTCGTGTTATCCTTGGGTAAAACCCTGGGAGCCCCACAGTTCTAGTGCAGCGAATGACAAGTGCTTAGTTGACTATAGTTTTAGCCAAGCCTTATCCCACAGAATCCCTGAGAGGTAAAGAGAATAGCTCCAACATACATTTTCTGCTTTTAAGAATAAAGAGCTGACAGTTGGCCTGTGATCATGGGATCCAGGGCCCTCTGCCCCATTATTGTTTCCTACAACCCCAGACTCCTTAATTCCAGCCCCAGCCCCTTACCTTAATTGGATGATAAACCCAGGTTTGGCGTGAATGGTCCATTCACAGTGAGCATTTAGCGGGTAGCTCTCCAACAAAATCTGACCCTTTGGGGCTCGCAGAACCTGGCCACATCCTAAGGAGAAAAGAAAAGATCGGGACACAAAAATTGAGGTCAACAGGAAAGAGGCGGGAGAAAGTCCACACTTCTGAAAACAGAATGAATAAAGGAAAGGAAGAAGGAAATTGATATTTCTCAAGCAGCTGGCAATGTGCTAGGCAATTTGCATAAAGTAATTCATTTAATCCACCCAACAGCTTGGGAAGGGAAGTGGTATCATCCCAATTTTCCAGCTGGGAAAACAGATAATCAGAAAGTTAAAATAAATAACTTTTCTAGCTACTAAGTGACAGAGCAGAGACTCCAGCCTAACTGGGTCCCTGTGTGAAGTTCAAGCCACTGTCCAGGCCTCCAAATGCCTGCCTGCTGCCCCCACCTCAAAAGGCTCAGAAGGTAGACCCTTCCCTCATCTCTACTCTCCTCACACCCACGGCCAATCAGAAAATCGATGTTAATTTTCTCTATGAGCAATCAATCATGTAATAAATGCATCTTTAATGTATGCTGTTGGAAGGGAGAGATAATCTCCAGCCAATTGGACTAGATTGATGGTTTTCCATCTTTTTCTTGCCCCTAACCCCTTTTACTCAAACAAACTCTTATCAAGGCCACCAATAAATAAAATTGGGATCAAAGAAGGGCTCCTGGTTGAAGCAGAAGCAGGAGCCAAAACCCTCCACCCCCCCCTTCCCTTGTTTTGTTTGGTTTCCCCCCAGGGATTCCTTAGGTTTTGAAACCGGTTGGGTTGGTTGTTCTTGAACTTGTATCATATTTTCCAGTGTTAAGATAAGCACAGGCATGGAAGATGCACCGTATTTTCACACTCAAGAGTTTGAAGAAAATGTCTTAAAGTGGTTTTAAGACAAAATTATTTGGGTCATGAAATAAATTATATTCTCTAACTGGGGTTGGCAAATTATGATCCATGGGCCAAATTCGGCCCACTGACTGTTTTTGTAAATAAAGTTTTATTAGAATATAACCACACCCACTTATTTATGCATTGTCTATGGCTGCTTTTGCACTATCATGGCAGAGTTGAGTGGTTGTGGAAAGAGACAGTAAGGCTCACGAAAATGAAAATATTTACTATCTAGCCATTTTCAGACAAAATTTATTTACCCTAGTTCTATACAAAAACCCAGATTGACATCATAAATTCTGGATATGCAGTTATGTTCAATAACCACCACACCACCACCACCCTCTGCCAAAATACTGCTCCATGGCAAATGACAATAGTAATCTTTCTTTCTTTCTTTTTTTTAAGAGGCAAGGTCTTGCTCTGTTTCCCAGGCTGGAGTGCAGTGGTGCAACACTTTTGAAGTTCAAAGCTCACGGCAGCCTTGAACTCCTGTGCTCTAGCAGCCCTCCCACAACAGCCACCCAAAGTGCTGGAACTACAGGAATATGGCACCACGCCTGGCTAATGTTTTTAATTTTTGTAGAGACTGAGTCTTGCTATGTTGCCCAGGCTGGCCTTGAACTTCTGGCCTCAAGTGATCTTCCCACCTTGGCCTCCCAAAGTGCTGGGATTATAGACCTGAGCAACCATGCCCAGTATCAGTAGTAATATTTCTACAGTGTTAGGAAAAGAGCCCAAACTCTACTTTTGACAGGGTGTAAGGTCTGATGCTTGCTCCTTTTGTGAAAACTCCTAGGTTGTGCAATTCGTCTTTCATTCAGATCTTCATGGCTGCCGCCCTGTTCCCCCAGTGGGAAACATCAGTCTCTGCTTTCCACTTGGGGCTCCTGCCTGGCCCCAGCCCGATCATCTCTCTCTCTACAATCCCAACCTCCTCCCTGGACCCCTGGAATCTACCCTTATCCCCCAACCTTCTACTGTCCAAACAGCAGCCAAAACCACCTTTTAAACAAATAAATCAGATCACGCTGCTCTCTTGATGCAAGCCCTCCAAAGTCTGTCCATGGTGCAAACACCTTCCTACAGCACTCATGACCCTGCTTCGTTGGCTGCCCAGACCTGCCCTCTGCCTGACCTCACGTGTCACTCATCTGCTTGACCACACTGCTCCAGACTCACAGCCTACTCTCTGTGCCCAACCCCAGGCCTTGAACTTGCTGCTTTCTGAATCTAGAAGGTTCTTCTTCCTCCCTTTAAGAATGGGAGGAAGGGAATGTCTCTTCCCTTTAAGAATGAAGCTCAACTGCCACTTCTTCAAAGAGGCCTTCCTCGACCATCCAAGTAAAATAGTCCCTCCCCTGCAGTCCCCTCTGTAGTCCCCTCTGCAGTCACTGTCATCTCTCTGTTTTGTTTTCTTTGTTGCACACATCACTGCTGGAGATTATCTAGCTTACTTGTCTGCTCCCTTTGGTAGCGGTGGAATTTTCTAGCTTGCACACCTAGAATGGAACCTGCCATAGAGCAGGCGCTCAGTAAGTATTTGTTGGGTGAGTGAGTGATGACTTTATTACAGGCCAGGCACTGACTAAAGGCTTTACAAGCATTTTCCCATTTAATCCTCATAAGAATCCTAAGAGAACAGCATTCATCTTCCCGTTTCCCAGATGCGAGAACACTAAGGTTGGAGAAATAAAGCGGCTCTCCCAGGCTCAGGGGCTGGGAAGTGAGAAGACTGCAAATCACTGCCCTCACTGTAAAGCAGGAGTTAAAAATAGAGACTTCAGGGTCCAACTGCCCTCGGTGTGAAAGTCAGCCTTACATGTATCCCCACCAGATGCGTGGCCTTGGGCAAGTTACTTCCTCTCTCAGAACCTCAGTACACCCGAGTCAAATGTGAATAAAAGTGGCACCTACTTTATGTGGTTTAGTGAGACTTAAGCAGATGATGCATAGGAAAACTCTTAGCAGAAAAATCAGTATACATTTGCTTACTGCCTTTGGGTGGCAGGACAGAGATTTGAACTTGGATCTGTCTGGTACCCATGCTGGGTCTTGGCCGGTATGTTCAGCTGTCTTAGGGGCACCCTCATCCAGCCCTCTCCCGCTCCATTTTTGAAACAGCAGAAAGTTTCCGCCCCCAAAGAGAGACATTGAATCTTTGCCCACTCCCCATTTTTTGAAGCGCACGTTCCTTCTTCCTGCACACCTCACACTCCTCATCGCCCCCATCTGCCCATCTGCTGCTGGGCTGCGGAAGGAATATGCGGGTGTGAGAGACAAAAAAAGCAGCCTTCCTGCACAGCCTCCGCCCCCTGGGACTGGCAGCTTCCCAACCCGCAAGGTGTTAAATCCCAGCTCCTTCAGCAAACCTCCTGCTGAGGGACCCAAGTCAGAGCCAGCAGCAGGTGCTGCCAGCCTGTGCCCAGGTTCTTCCCTCCACGTGGAAGCTGGAAGCAGACAGCCCTGCCCCTGGGCCCCTCTGCAAATCCAAGGGGAGGCAGTGCCTGCGCCACCCCATTCAGGGCTCCTTGGCAGGTCCATTCAGGCTTTAGCCAGCTCCAGGGGCTCATGCAGCCTCCGGAGGGCTCAGTGTCCCCGTCCTCACCCAGGTGCAGGTCCCTGGCCGTGTGAAACGCTGGACCACTTGTTCCTGCAGGCCGGGGCTGTCCTGCAGAAGGAGCCAGGATTCCAAACACATGCAACATCTCTGTTCCTCTTAATGGGGCTCCTTCTCACTCCGAAGGGGAGGGCAGAGTTGGCCCCAAGATGGGGAACAACTTCCAACCAACCAGAGACAAAGAGGCCACTTCTTGGAACAGTGCTTGGAAAAAGAAGGAATACTAGGCAAAGAGCAAGAGCAGGGAGCCCCACTCCCTCCCCACGTCAAGGGACTCCTTCAGTTCCCTTGCACTCCAGCCTCTGCACTGGGAGCTGCAGGCCTGGGCGCTGGGACAGACTGACTGCACCTCTCTGTCCGGGGCAGAACAGTGAACACAACAGAGTGTCCCTGCCAAGGAAGTACCGCTGGCCAACCTAGCAGGTGGTCCTGCATGTGAAAGAGCAGAGCAGGCAAAGAGCTTGAGAGATGTGCTCAGACTCCCTAACAACGCCTGGCTGCGGGAGGAGAAGGCGTGTGTGCGCGCGCGTGTGCGTGCACGTGTGCGCGTGTGTGCGTGTGCGTGCGTGTGTGCATGTGTACGTGTGCGTGCATGTGTGCGCGTGTGTGCGTGTGCGTGTAGGGGGATCTGTCCATGATGCTGGACTGTGCCCTGGGCCCTCAAATCCCGGATATACCTCCCACCCCTCCCCATTGCTACAGACCCAAATGGGGGGGATAGCTGGACACACTCCGCTTCTACAGCGAGGAAAGGAAATCTTCCTTAATTTCTAAACCAGTGAGAGACCTGGAAGGTTCCCAAGAAAAATGGACGCCCCTCACATTCAGACAGGAGTGTTCTTATAGCCAGCATGGCGGGGGGCGGGGAGGGAAATGCGGGGAAGAGACACAGCACACACTTCTGAGAAGTGGTCAGCTTTCCGTTTTTCTTTCATCTTTCCTCTTAGAAAAAAATAAAAAAAAAGAGGGGACTTTAAAAAACCTTCAGACTCAGGAGGCATTCGCATTTCTATTCCTTCAAGAGGACTCAGGAGGCAGGTCTCAGGGTCTGCAAAGCCAGCCTGGGTCCGAATCTCAGTGTAACATCTACCAGCTGTGAGACCCTGAGCCAAGGTTTTTCACCTGGAAAATGAGAATAATAGTAGTATCCACCACCGTGTGTTTTTCTTGTTTGTTTCTTTTGAGGATTAAATGAGATATCGTGTATAAAGCCCTTGGCAGAGAGCCTGGTACATAAAAACGCTCAGCGACTGGCAATAAATGTTGTTACTTTCCTTGCGTGTTTCCTGGATCTGAGATACTGACTATTTTGGCACGTGAATCTCAGGGGACAGGCCAGGTTCTGACCTGCTGCTCCAGGGCTCATCGCTGCCCAGAACCCTACCACCACCAGGCCCAGCAGCCCAGACGGTGATGGTAGAGCCACTTGTCCCACGTCCCAGGCCAGGCGTGGAAGGAAACTCGCATCTTCCACGTGGTCTGGGTCCTCCCGCCATGGCCTGCTGGGCCCTTGGACAGGCACTCAGAGTGAGG